TATATATATATGTGTGTATGTGTGTGTGTGTGTGTGTATATATATATATATATAGAGAGAGAGAGAGAGAGAGAATTGATGGTAGCTAATTTAAACATCTTTTAAAAACATCTTCTATTTTTATCCTTGATTATCAGCCCCAGGATACTTCATTATTCGCAATGCAGACAGACCAGAGTATGATCTGCAATTTGGTAAGTTGATTTGGGTTTGTGCTCTCGGGAAGTTGTTAGTTATCCCTACATCTAGAGTTTTAATATCCAGAATGTGGTTTCTGGATCCTGTGCTTTTCTAGAAGACAGGAGAGAACGTGTCTGTAAAACCTCAGTGTGACTTTGCATTTAGTTATTTCTATTCACACAGGCACAGTCATTCCAGCAAAAACCAGTCTCCTAATTATGAACCCCAGCAGAACACAGTGAATCCATTAAGGACATGTATATTTCCATATGAATATAACTTAAGCTCCAGTATTTAAAGTGAAATTGCCTCAAGAATCCATGTTTCAAAAGAAATCCTTGTTTGTTTCTTGAACCTGAAACTACCCCATTTCTCATCTCATCCCTCCACTCTGTGAGAGGTAGAAAGCAGTAATGCATAGTAGAGTTGTGATTCCTAATTTGATACCAAATGAGAGCAGAGACAAAAGCTTAGTTAGGGGATGAGTAAGAAATAGAAATAGTTACTCCTGGTGTTAGAGGAGATTCTTAAAAGATCAGTGTTGCAGTTACGATGGAAAACATTTTTAGCAACAGCTTAAAGCTTACTAGTAAAGATGAATGAAGAGACCTTAAGAGATGTCGCTTTTGAGCATGTCATTGCTACACTTCAGAGGATTTGGGCTCTTAGAGGACTAGGTCATGAGGGTTATTTGTAGCACTATGGTTTTCTCATGGGAGTAGTGCATACTTATCCCAGCTTCTGCCTTTCATATTGGATACTTGGAATTAAGATTAAATACAATGAATTTTTAAAAACTATTTTATTTGTAAGTAAGGAATTCTGTTCTGGACAGTTTGTCTTCAAGGCTGGTTTGATATATTTTCAAAGGCAGGTGTGTCTCTCGTACCTTGTCAATAGATTGTCACGCTTTTGCCTTTTGGACAACCAACTGAAAGACAGAGTCTCTCTGGCCTGCAAATAAATATTTAAATGTTTCAAATACAAATTATACTTGTGTTAGTCATGGAGCCAGTGAAACTCATTCTTCATGTTCATTGGTGATTCTCCAGCTGGGTGATGGAGATGGAGAATGGAATTTTTAATTATCAACCATGAATGGTTTATGAGAAATGGAGAAATACCAGTATAAAAGGAAAGGCAATTGGTTATAATTAAACTCACACCTACTACACTGATGCAAAACATTCAGGTCTAGAATTCGGTGGTTTTTAAGTTTTGGTGAGCCTTTCCATATCATCCCTGGCTGGTCCTAGGAGCTTCCATGCTTGTCTTTCTCTTCTCTTTGTATGTATTCTCTGAAGCAGACATCTTGCCCCTTCTTTCCACGGGGAACTTAGCTTTGTCATGTTCAGCATTGCAAATGCTGCTAACATTGGCCCTGCCCTCTGATCTAGGAAATCACAGTGAACCGATGTCTCCCAGTGAGTCCTGATTGTACACGATCTTCCCAGGAGCAAGAAAACTTCCCAGTGTTTGGCTCATTGACTATTCTGAGCGAAGTAGGAGATGAAGTTGATAATCAGCTGTACATCTCCCAGTCTGCATCATACAGCCCCACAGGACATCTTTTGAGTACAGGTTTAAACCCTTTTGAATCAGCAACTCTTGCTCAGAGCTCAGAGCTGCCTCTAAAGCCCTCTGCAGTTCTCACTAAATTAGCTCTCTCAGGATTGGAGAAACTGGATACAAGGCCACATTGGATGTGACTAGACTTCTGCCCCTGCTCTCCCAACCCATCTCCTTTTCCTCTGTGTTGACCCACCTTTCATCTTATCACAAAGGATACCAGAAAAGGTGCTGCAAGGCTATACTCCTTATTTTATTCTAAAGGAAGAATTGGTTTATGGTCCTCAGAGTTCAACCATTGTGGTATCTACTGCCACCAATATCTGTAAAGGATGCACCTCTTCTCTGAATGTGTAATGACTGCGACTGAAACAAACAATAGGAAATCGTTCTCAGCACTCCAAAATAGGTGTGGCAGGGGATCAACCCATTTGCAATGTCTCTCGAGGGAGACATCTTGTAGAAAAAAATGGTGAAGGTAGGGCACAATTCCCACAGGACTATATTGAATCTCTCCACAAGAGGTTGCTCACATTTTATCTTAGTTTTTCCCTCTTTCTTGACAAAACACTTATAATTTTGCATTATCTTGGAAAAGAAAGGTGGCTTCTATTTCTAAATTTAGGTAGCTGATTTTATATACAACCAGGCTTCATTGTTACTCATCATTTAGTGAGTTATACTATCCTCCTGGAATTTAGGTTAAGTTGTAATGCCTTATTGTGAAATTTCATGTGTTATTGTCGTATGTGAAACATCTTGTGACTTGTGGGGACATAAGCAATCCTATGTTCTCCTGATACTAGACCACAGTCACACTGTCAAATTTCAACAAGCAAATGCAATTAGACTCATTTATAGAATCACCCTAGCTATTTATTCTTGCCTTATAAAAAATGTCAGAATTTCTTGAGACTTCTAAGAAACCTAGACTCTGATGCAAATATTTTTTGCATTTTGAGATATCTTTGCATTTTGTAAAATATATGATGATATATTTCTTTGACTCATGTTTTAAAACATCTCTTGGCTTCTCATCTGGCTTCAATCTAACTTCTTCCGTAGCATAGACTCAGCTTGCAGTGAACAGCATCTACTTGTGGATTTCTTGGTGTTTTCTCAAATTGCCCTTTTATCCTTCATTGTGAAGGTCATTTGATACCAGGCTGTCATAGCAAATCACCTTGACTTCCTAAATGGTAAGATCATTCCCTGAGCGCTTACAGTATCTGTTTGCTGTTATGAAAACTTGTTCCATTATGAAGATAATTCTTTTCGAACAATAAAAGTGAAGTATTTTTCCATAAAGGACTCCTGAGAGCATATTAGTGTGAATTTTATCTCATTCTTTCCTAAAAATTATGTCAGGCCACCTCTTAAAGCTTAAAAAAGCCCATAAAAAATCAAATGTCTATACACCTGTCTACCAGTCCTTTGAATTTATTATGCCCTTTGAAAAGAATGGTCGTGTGATCCTGGCATGCATAAAAATGGAATGATTTGGTGGGAGACATAAGACAAATAGTTTGTGTGTTTGTCCAACACTAGGCTATTCATATTCATTTTGTATTACCTCAGTATAACTTTTCCATCACTTCTCTGGGGAACTTGCCATGTGCATTGACTCAGATAAATGTACAGGACAAATAGAGGTGGGTTTTGATTGCTTATGGTGAGTTGGATAGAAGTTGCTGATTTCTCCAATCACAGCATTAATTAGAGACTTCTTACTCCACTGGGAAATCACTTTTCAGCTTTTTTTTACAGTTTAAGTGTTCTGATGATAGAAAAGGATCTTATGAGCCCTCTAATGGCCATCCATTTAGTGAAAGAATCATGCTAGATAAATCTGTGTATTTATATTAATAAGAATGGAAAAAGAAGGAATATTTTCAGTAGTTGTAGTGACATGCACTGGCTGTGGTGCTTTTAATGGCTTGTTGTTAGTTGATATCGCTAATTTTAAAACTAAAAAGGCCTTGATCTAAGAGATGCCAGAAGCCTGATTTAGCATATATGTAATTGAAATCAGGATGATGTTTATGTGTTGTGTTGGGACAAAAAGACCTCACCCTGCCTACACAATTCAGGGGGTGTAATTGAACCACATGGAGAATACTGCCCTGTGGTTCTTTAAACAACTATTATATGAAGTAAATGCATTACTAAGGATTTTGTTGGAGGGAGAAAGGGAACAAGGAACTGAACAGGAATTTACAACAAGGAAGTAAAGTATCTATGATTGTGGTAGCGAATAGCCAGGTAGCTGGTTCTGTTCCTCCCAGCCTTGGAAGTGGAACACTAGCATCGTGGTGACCTGTTGAGTCAAATGAATGCATTTTAGTCTGACTATTAGAATGACTCTTTAATTTTTTTGGTGCAATGCATATTCATAAAACTGAAAGGCCCTGGAACTGTGTGCCCTGCGATTTCTTCCTTACTCCTTCCCACTGGCAAATAATTGTGGGTCCTCCTAGACTTCTCTCTCTCTCTCTCTCTCTCTCTCTCTCTTTCTCTCTGGAAAATAGCAGAACCTTTTATAGCTATCATAGGTAAGTAGGTATTCAAAATGTTGCAAGTAAGTAAAATGGGTAGGTAAAACTTGGTAAGTCTTGCCTGACTTCAAGGGAAATGACAGTCTTGATGATGGTAAAGCAGAAGTTTAATAAGATTTTATTTCTAGTCTTTTCCATTCTCTAAAAGCCTATGATGTCAAACAGGGGGCTTTTCTCCAGCACGGATTTCATGAAGCTAGTTGCCTGTGGGATGACAAAGAAAATCTTAATTGTCCAGTATTCTGTAATGTTATCTATTTACCTGTTGAATCTTTTTCCTCTAACCCTCAAAACAAACACTCCAAGGCTGAATCTGAACAGGCTCCACCCACAGAGCCAAAAGCAGAGGAGCCCCTGGCTGCCATCACACCTGCCGTTGGGCTGGACCTTGGAATGGACACTCGGGCTGAGGAGCCAGTGGAGGAGGCAGTGGTGAGCGCTACCTCCCTCTCACCCTCGATCTGCCTCGCTGCCACAGCCATGCTCATCTCATGACCCCACGCATCACTCTCATCTTTGCCTCACTTGGGCCAAACATGCTCCATATCTGTTGTAGCTCCCAGGTTCCAATAGCCTTCATTCCTATTCTCTTTGATTTTTTAATGACTAATCTTATGATCTAAAGAAAACTGTACATAGCCACAGGTTTAGCACAGTAGAAGGGTTGTAGAACTTGCGAGTAATCAGAACTGTTAATGCTTTGTTCTATCTGTGACAACTGGAGACGTACCTTTATTAGGGATGTGACAAACAGAATAATAACTTTGTTCATTGTGTGTACATACTGATTACTTACAATGTTCGTTTTGTAGGTTGGTTAAGGTCCAATGAGGTGTTGAAATCCCATATCACAACTCCATGAATCTATAAGGATTCACCATTTGCTCACA